TTAAGCAACTTCTAAAATTACATGAAAACTTTCAGAAACAGATTGCAAGCATGCTTTCTTCAGGAAGCATTGCTGAAGTTCTTACCTAGTCAGTGCCTTACTTTAAGGTTCTGTTTATCATCACATTTTGTAAACATAGTTCTCATAATAAATGCGCCTATATTTCAAGGCCATAATATGGACTTCAAACCCCATCAAAATCAGCTGATCATAATATTTGAAGTTCTGAAGCTTTATTTATGTTTTTTAAAGCATATGTAAAACTCTTGCTTCTGTTTCAGTGGCCAGCTCCCAAATTAAAACTGAGGTAGGAAGAAGGATAATGCTTCCTGAATTTCAGAAGTGGTTCTGACCTCTCATTTCAGTTTCAATCGAAATACTCAGGTGTTCATATATGTTAGCATGGCCTGCTGCTGTTGTGGAGGAGGACCTGGGGGTCCTGCTGGGTGAAAAGCTGGGCATGAGCCAGCAGTGCCCCGAGCTGCACTCGGAGGAGCAGCAGGGTAAGGGGGGGTTGTCCTGCTCTGCTCTGCCCTTATGAGGCCCCACTTGCACTACTGTGTCCAGGTCTGAGATGTCATCGACTTGTTGGTTTGCCCCAAATGTACAAGAACCATGGATATAGAAAAGCAAATGGCTCAGCAAGGTGAGGAGTAGCAGCTTGATTTTGAAAGAGGAAGCAAAGCTCTTAGTGTTAAAGGTGGTGACAGACAGCGTCAGGAGAAAAGTCTTTCTTTTCCTCAAACTTTGCTATCCTATTGTTGTGATGTTGGGTATTTTATTCCCCAGTCCTGTTCCTCTAAATGAGAACATGCTTTGGTGTCACAGAATCAGATTGGAAAGAAGTGCTGCAGAGCACTTGATCTTGTTCATTATGGATTTTAAGATTCCTTATGTTTATCCACGCCTTCTGCAAAAGTCCTTGTACACATAGCAGGATGTAGCAACTTTTCACATTAACGTTCGTGGCATTAAGTTAGAGGAGCTGTGGAATGTGGATAAATAACGGGAGGGGTGACCCAGAGCTGCACGTGTAACCGAAGGTGTGTTGTTTTTTAATCTTCTCAGGAGAAAAAAGAGCAAGAGCCGAAGTCGAAGCCATGACAGAAAGAGGAGCAGAAGCAAGGAGCGCAAACGGAGCCGGGACCGGGAAAGAAAAAAGAGCAGGAGCCGGGAAAGGAAGCGGAGCAGAAGCAAGGAGCGCAGGCGCAGCCGTTCCAGGAGCAGGGATCGCAGGTTCAGAGGCCGCTACAGGAGTCCCTAGTAGGTCATCAGCACACGGTGCTTGCGTGCTCCCTCGGCGTGTGATGTGAGAGCTTGAAGTTTGTCTGCCTTCTTTCTGCACTGCTTGTTAATCATCTCAGAAAAGGGACTGCGAGGTTCAGACTGAAGGTGGTGTCAATAAGTATGGATTAAAAAGAGGACGGTGGTAACACATTGTGTTCCTCTTGCTAGTGTTCCCTCTTATCACGATGTAAAGAAGCAAAAACAAGTGAAAGAATGCGTAAAACTAACTGGGAAACAAATGCAAAAATGAAGTTTTATTTCAGACCTAAACTGCAGAGCAAGTTTCTTACATCCTAAATGCTTCAGTACATATTGGAAGGATTAACTGTTTAAAAAGAAAAAAAAAAAAAAAGACTTGTGTTTCAGGCTCATAAAACGCTTTGCTTTTTTAACTGAAATTTCTTACTGGATTGTTCCTCTTTATATGTTTACTGCAGGGCTGTTTTATGCATCCAAACTTAGAAATGTTTTGTCTAGTAGTGTCCATGTGCTGTATGCTTGCCTTGCCTTTTCTCAGACTTAGTTGGAGGTGTGGAAGTATTCTTCAGAGCCTCTGTTCTTTGGCTTGATGAGACTTCTGCTGTAGGTGGTCTGTGGCGGTTGGCTTTGGCTTCTCAGATGCTGTTTTTTTCACTGGTGGTATTTGCTTAAGGTTTCTGCTGTTGTATATTCCTGCCATGCTCTATGCTCCTTCCATCACCTCTTTTAGTCCTCAGTGAAGCAGACAAGCAGTGAGAACTGGGCTGCATGCTTGGCTTTTCTCAGCTACCTGCAGGTGCTGCTTGTGCAGGCTTTGGTCCGGGTTTCATCCCAGCAGTTGCCAAACCCTGGAATGCAAGGTAACGTCAGAAGCAGGCACTAGGAGAAGATGATGTTGGGTTTTTTCCTTCTTTTTGCAACAAGTGATGTCACTTTCTTTGGAGAGATCCATCAAGATTTTTGCAAAAGTGCCTTTTCCTTTTTGATATTCTGTAAGCTTGTACAGTTCTCTGCAAACTGGATTTTTTATGCTAGGTGGCTGGGTCCTTCTGCAAGGAGTGCATTCCTTTGGGTGCTCTTGGAGTGCAGGCAGAAATGCTGGAGGTCAGGTCTCATTTTGCACGAAGCCCCCTTGATGTTGGCAGTCTTCATGCTGCAGATGTGGTGCATCTCTGGAGTGTGCCCGGCATTCCCTGTTTTTTTAGCCCTTTGTACTCAGAGATCACAGCATAGCAGCCTTGCTTTTGGTTTATCTCTTTTATAAGGCTTTTTGCAGCCTTTGTAAACCTGGTGTGGGCTTCAGCTCTGAAGATTGCAACAGTGCACAGCTGGTTTGTTTTCTACAGCTCTTTGGCACCTGTATGATCACAGGAGCTGCCTGGAATTTGTCAGTGCCACTGTTGCTGCTCCAGATTGCCTCTAAATGCAGGAGTCCTAATCAAGATCTTCTGCCTTTCAGAGGTAGAACCTGCTGGCGCCTCTCTTTGTGGTGCTGTTGCTCATGTAATCAGCTGGGAGTTTCTACATCCTCTTGTTTGTGTGGGAGGCTTTTGCTCTTTGTTTTTTCCTGTTGTTACTGAGATAGTTTTCTGCCTGCAGACATCTGGGAGCCTTAGCATCCTGGTCTTCTGAAATGCTCTCCTCAGGCGGAGGTTGAAACGCGTGTTACTGCACTAACGTGTGCCAACTTTCACGTGTCCACATGTGTTGTACCCACGTCTCTGCAGCATTGGTGCTGACTGAAGTGGACAGCAGTTAGCTGTAGTTTGCTTGTAGGTTGTGGATGATAAAAGAAAAGCCTCCTTTGTTGTCTGGAATGAGCAGAGCTGGTTATCTTAAAGATGAGTTTCTGCGTTCAAGATCTTAGTAGCAGGCAAGTCATTAGTTCTGGAGATAAAGCCTCCTGCATCATCAGCCTCCTTTCTTTGTATGCATTTGGATCTACAAAAAATGATGCTACCATACGATGACAAACTCTTTATTTGCAGTGCCATCAGCTTCACATTTCCTGAGTAACAAACAGTGCTTAATGAGATTGAGATACATCAGCTGCTGCGTGGAGACTTTGGATCTGGAATCTCACTTTGTGGGGCTGCTCAGGCAGTTCTGAGTTGGTGTTACTGCAGGCTGTGTTGCACTCAACTGCTGCATCTAATTCAGAATGGTTCCTGTTTGTATCATTTTCCACTCTTCATCCTCTTTAAATGACTTTTAAATTGAGATACGTCTGCTGCTGGTGGGCATGCAGAAGCATCTGCAGCACTGGAGAGAGGTTGTCTGTGTGGTGTAGATAATTCTGAAGGAAAAGGATGAAATTCTCTGTCTTCAAGTTTTGTCTTCAAGCATGAGGTAGTCTCTACATGTGGCAGTTTTTAAAAATTGAATGCTTGGCTTTCATTGCTGAGTGTCTGTGGAGCTTTCTCTGTGTTCTTTTCACTTACCTTGCCACTTAAATATTTTAAAGCTTTATAAGACTTCTTGTGAAAAGAAGTTACCAAGTGTGCCTGCTTAGACATCAGCTGCTCCTAACGAACTCCCTTAGACTGGAACGAGAAACAAGTCTATTCTGGAGCTAAGAATTTAGACAAAGCTATGGGAAAAACAGTCCTGACACACACTGATGTTCATTGACTCTCTTGGCCAAAACCTGCTTCATCTGAGAGGCTTTTCTTGAACTTTTGGCTTCAACTGATGTGAAAGCTTTTTTTTTTTTTTCAGGCTGACTTCTGACCTTGTTCTGGACTGTGTGGCATCGTGTAGGTTTAGGCAGCTGTGTGCATTGCTGTATGTGGGGCTTATTGACCTCCAGGCACACAGATAATTGCTTGCCTCAGCTCTTCCATGCACGAGAGCAGGAACTGGACAGAACTGCAAAAGAGCTTTTAGAACGGCAGATGAAAAAAGAAGAAAATTCCTTTGATTGGTAGCTTTACGAGTAGATCTCAGTAAAAAAATCCAAATAAATGCAACCACGGATTGCTGTTGAAAAAGATCTGCAGGAGTTCCCTCAAGCTGCCACCTTGCCTCATTCTGCTTCTGAGACTCACTGTTATGTCTTCACTTTGTCTTTTTTTAATAATTAATTCCTTTGTTTCTTACATCTTACGCTGCTTGTTTGTTGAGGGTGAAAATGAGCAAGAGATTCTTGGAAGGTTAATGTTTGTTTTTTTAATTTTCTTAGCATTTGAAAACTCACTTTACCTTCTCAGTTTTTTGCTGGTTTTTTTTTCCCCTTTTTAACTAGTTTTCAGCAAAGACACAGTAAGAAAACACTTTGTGTTTCCCTGAAAGCTTGTGATCTTAGTCACTGGCAGTTATTTGGTTGGTCTGTGTGTTAATAGTCTGAATATTGGGGTCACCGTAGTTAGTGCTGCATATGAATTGAAACAGATACCATAGTGTTCTGCAGCAGCGTGTGTGAAGATGCAGGGTAATCCCTTCTGATGAGATGCCAGCTTCTGAAAGCAGTTCTGGCATTTCCAGTGCACTTTTTGGCAGTATATTTTGGGGGTGTTGGAGAACTTGGATGGGTGTTCTCAGCAGCTCACCCAACTGGAGTAGGAAATGCCATATTTTATCCTAGGTTGTTTTTCAGTAGGTATTTCCAACCCCTACAATTCTGTGATTCTGTCGACCTGCTGTAGGGAACCTGCTTTGGCAGAGGGGTTGGACTCGATGATCTCTGGAGGTCCCTTCCAACCCCTACAATTCTGTGATTTTTATCCTGAGTAACCTCAACAAATTGCGTATTATGTACCTGTTGTTAATGTGTTATTTTGTCTTAACAAATAGTTTCTAAGCCATCTGATTTATTTCTTTATTCCAGTGGTGCTCAGGGCCATTTTTCCCTTCCTTTAACCTGGCCAGCATGGCTCTGGATCTTAGCCCTGTCCTTCCATCTGTTACTGTGTCGTGGTGTGTTTAGAGGGGGCATCCTCCTCCTTGTTGTCAATGCTGAGCTTAACTCTCAGCACTGCTGCTTTCCTGAGTAGCAAGACAACCTGGCTGGCTGCATGGACTTAGTGAAAGATTATGTGATATCTTCAGACTGCTGTATTTTTCAGGGTGTTTTCACATCAGTTTATATCCACAGCAGAAAGAAACAGTTCTGTGCGAAGGGGCAGAGTCCTCTGCATTCAGTCTGTCGTGTTGTGTCTGACCTTCAGTGGATATGGAGGAGGAGGGTTAACAGGTGGCGTTCTTTGCCTTGTACCTAGAAGGAGATGAAGTTCAGGGAGAGCACAGTAGTAGGAATTTACTGTTCACAGCACAGTCTGTTACTCTGCCACAGGAACTCGCAAGAGGGCTGCCTTGCTGTGGGCAGATTGCCATTGGTTGTAACTGCCGTGAAGCCTGCAGAACTAAAATTAGATTCAGCCAAGAGATGGTGGCGTATCTATATAAGGTTACCTACTGCTCAAATGGTTCTGTGTTTTGATGTCCATTCAGAACTGAAAGGAAGCTTTAGTTACATCTCTGTAGTGAATGCAGCAGAGGCAGCGCTAGCAGTGCCCAGGATGTTTCCTTTGCAGATATCCGTGGGGAGCTGCTTCACTTTCCACTTGCATCTTCAGTCTCATCTCGGTTTTGGTTTTAAGATGCCATACCGGAGTCCTGCCTGCACCTGTCAGTGAGGTGTGCGTGTGGGCAGGTGTCTCAGTAAGGTGGGGACAGCAGCCCTCGCTCACAGTGCCTGTGCACATGTGTGCCACAGCTCTGGCTTCCCTTCTTCTCGGGGTCCTGCGTGTGCGGAGGTGTGCAGAGGTGTGCTGGGTGTGCTGGGTGTGCATGCGGTGGGGCTGCTGGCGGGCAGTGCTGGCAGGGCCAGGTGCACGGGTGGGTGAGTGCTGTCAGTGTGATGTCAGTACAGACAAAATCTTGAATTGAGGTGCTCTGGTAAGTGACGTCTGTCTTTGCTTTTGCCGTAGTTCTGGTCCCAAATTCAACAGTGCCATCAGAGGGAAGATTGGTCTGCCTCACAGCATCAAATTAAGGTTTCTGAGTTTTCTCTACTTTTTATTGCATCGTTAATAGGTTTTGTTTAAAATAAGACCGTTATGCTTGAAGTGTTTTGGTAACCTTGTTCTTATCTCTTTACAGCAGACGGCGTTCCAGAAGCAAAAGTCCCTTCAGAAAAGACAAGAGCCCTGTTAGGTAGCTATTTTTATATGCTTTTTTTCCCCCATCGATTGAAGGAAGAAGTGTAATGATGAAATAGTGTGTGACTGACTGCACAGCTATCCAATTAAAGTCACAAGTGATGCTGGAATTCATCATTCGGGAAGCCCAATAAATGAGAACATGGAGAAATGTTGCTTTTTTTCCCGTGTCGTCCCCTCCCCTTCCCTCTCTCCAGTTTTTGGTGTACCATTGTGAATAACATCAATTTGCAAAATGTGTCTGGCCTTAGTTTTCATGTTTTTGTGTTAATTCTAATTTAACTTACCTAGCATTCCTACTAAATATTACTAAACACAGAACGGAAAAGTGCCGCTGTTTTTTTCCTACCCATTGTTGATGTTATTTGTGGAGTAGTAACCGAAATCCAGAAAGTGCTTATCCATTCTTAAGCTTCCCAATTAAGGAATTTGTATTTAGATTGCTGCTAATTAGATTTGTTTAAATTTAAGTATATTAATTTAGAGAATAGGCTTGCATGGTTTTTATTAGCAAAGTGAGATAATTTAATTAATCTTTCTTGTGTTTTCTCAGGAAGATTTTAAGATATAGATATATGTAAATAAATACGTTATGCTACTGGAAGCTCAGTCTAGAATCAGGCCTGCTAATTCTATCCTGTGCATAAATGCAAGCCAGGTTTTTTTTCTGCTGCTCTTTCCAGTTGAAGCTTTAATGTTTCAAATGTAGTGTGATTGCAGCTGTTGTTCAGTTGAAATCAGCACTGATCCAGTCTGTGGGATGGCAGTAATTATTTGCTATTCAAGTGTTTGCTTTTTTGGGAGGAGTGTTAGAAGCCACAAGCAGTGAGGACTGGGAGCTGTTGGTGTAGATGTCAGTGTTTGTGCAGTGCCTGGAGTGACTCCTAAGTGACTGGCTATAAATAACTTAGTTTGCAAAGCTCATCTGAGAGTGCATTGGTGTGCTGATTAATGCTGTGCTCTTCATTTTCCCATCATCTTTTACCACAAACTTGTCAGTATGGTGCTCTTCTCTGTTCGTGACAGTAGCAGAATGGCAGCTCCTGTGTAGCTGGGGCTTCTGAGTTTGGAATACTGATTTCCAGTCATACTCAAGTTCAAGGTGAAAACAAGAAGTTTAGTCATGTTAAATATGATTGCATTAATATTAGGTGTTCACCTCTTGGCACCTACTTTTTTTAATATTGCAGGTATTTTTTCACTGTTCGACTTCAAAATGCTTGTGTTTAAAGTTTCATGCATTGCAAAGGTTACCTTATTCAGATTTCTTTTTTTAAATGCATCTTTCTTCTTTCCAGAGAACCTATTGATAATCTCACCCCTGAAGAGAGGGATGCTCGAACAGTATTCTGCATGCAGCTAGCTGCAAGAATTCGACCAAGAGACCTGGAAGAATTTTTCTCTACAGTAGGGAAGGTAAGTGATAAGGAGGTTGAAGTGATTCTGAGCACTTTGTGAAGTGTCTCTAGCTAGGGTGGGTATTGTGCTGAGTGACAAGGAGTCTTTCAGGAGAGTCCTGGGGCGTGCGTGATTTAAGGCTCTGAGCGTGGGGAAGTAATTGGTCAGTTTGCTGTTGGCTGTGCTGGGTGATGCAGAATGCGAGGAAGTAGCTGTGGTTCAGATAGCTTCATTTTCAGAACTTTGAGTCTCCTGCAGGTAATCTGCTGCCAGTTGAAGTGTAATTTCAATTTCAACTTTCAGTTTTGAAGAAATAGCATTTTTCAGCAGTTTTACCAGCTGCAAGGTTCTGGCTTAAAGCATTGCAGCGCTGCAGGTATCTGCTGACCTTTTTCCTGAAAAAGAATACTGCATTTGACTCTGAATTGTAGTTTCTAGTGCTGGCTTTCCTCCAGGATTTGTTTGTTCAGAGGGTTTGATGCCACCCAAGATTTGCAGCATAATTACGCAGCCATTGATTGATTGGCTGGTAATTGCTTGTTAGTAGTCTGAAAGTAAACTGCTTCAGCTTCTTTCCTGGAGCAGCTCTGTCTGTAACAGTGTGTCTGTGCTTGTCTTTCAGGTGCGTGATGTGCGGATGATTTCTGATAGGAATTCCAGGCGTTCAAAGGGAATTGCTTATGTGGAATTCGTTGATGTTAGTTCAGTGCCTCTGGCAATAGGACTCACTGGACAGAGAGTCCTGGGCGTACCAATCATAGTGCAGGCATCACAGGTAAGGACTTAACACAGTTAAAAGCTTGGTTTTTTTAACTGGTGACTTGTTACCTTGCTGGAAAAGTTGGTGTTTGAAGTTGGTCACCAATGAACATGCAAAAAGCCTTACCAGTAATGATCATATGGTTTAAATGTAGAAATTGACCTTGGTTCCCAGTAGCTGATGTGCAAATCAAAGGTGCATTTTGAAAGTACTGGTGTTAATAGTATTACTTTTAAAAATCATAATAATAATAATAATATACATGGTGTGCTTTCCAACAGATGTGAAAATCAAAATGACAGTTTACTAAGTGCAAGCCAGAATTCTGCACAAAGTTGTTCAGCTTGAAGATTTTAGGGAATTACATCTCTGTATTTGGTCGTGGTCTTTGCTTTTGTATTTTGAGTTGACTACCTGGCCGTGCAGACTATAAACCAGTTGAATTTGGTAGAAGTATTTTTTACTTATTTTAGGATTTTTCAGTATTATTGTGTTCGTACAGAATTTACCAATGTTTTCTTGTTTTTCTTTCTCCCCGCAGGCAGAGAAAAACAGAGCAGCAGCAATGGCAAACAACCTGCAGAAGGGCAGCGCCGGCCCCATGCGGCTCTACGTAGGGTCGTTGCACTTCAACATCACTGAAGATATGCTTCGAGGGATCTTCGAGCCGTTCGGCAGGGTATGCTGTGATTTGGCACTGTGGGCTTGGGGTTGATCTGAGCTTTCAAACAGCCCCTGGAAAAAATTCAGTCTCACAGGCACCAAATGTTTTCATTTTCTCGCTGCTGTGTACCTACATTCTGCACCACAAGGCTGTAGGCATTGAGTTAGCATTTCGGAAAAAGTAAGGGCCTTGCCTGGAGACATGGTCCAGTGATATGAGTGTAGGCCTTATGTTAGAGAGCTTGAGAGTTCAGTGAGTTCCTGAAGTTTCCCAGAATCAGGCCTTGGTCTGGTTCACAGTGAATCTGTAGTACTGTAATCTGTTTCTGAATACTTATTTGTTAATTAGTAACTCGTGTTGCCAACCTTTGCTGAGTCACCTGCTGCTGTGATGTAGGCTTCTGTCTTTACACTCTGATCAGTGACTTTCAGTTTATAGCATGGTAATGTTTCCTTACAATTATGAAAGTGAGGAGATTGAATCTGAACTTTCCATCTTAAAAAAAAAAAAAAAAAAAAAAAGTTAAACACTGGTGCAGCACTGTGCTGACTGTTGTTGCATTGAGGGTATGTCAGTATTGGTAAGGAGAAGATAATACATTTCATACGCTGCTTAGGTATGTGTTTTATCAAGCCTGTTGATGATTTTCGTACTGTTTTAGAACAGCAGCCTTGTTTTGTACGTTCTGTAACCTCACTTTTTAGATCTTTGTTCAGTTTTTTGTGTGTATCCCTTTAATTCTGTTATGCAGAAGTCTGGAACGTTGCAGCAGTTGGTTAAATTGTAATCCATGTGGCTGCTCTGTTGTTTTCTCCCAAGGTCTGGCAGTAGGGTTAAACAGACCAGGAGGATTTACAGATAGCTGTGCATGAAGGTTTTTCTTCCCACTCTTTGATTCAGCTCTCTCTTCAGCCACTATTTCGTGGCTCATGGATGACTTTCTCGTGTTTAAATTCAGTAACTATGGAATGTTAGGGATTACAGTATACCTAACCATTGAAAACAGGCACGCTTTTCTTAAAGCCCCTGGCCAGTCATGCAAACTGCTTTTCTTCATAAACTGGGTTTCCTCAGCGTATGGGGCGCCCTGTGTTGTTTCATGGCCTTGGTGTTTGCTGCTTCTGCTCGTGTGTCAGAGCGCACATCTTGCTGCTTCTGTGCTAATGTGTATTTAGGGAAGAATTAAGAACTTAAAACCAAAAGAGAACAAAAAAAAACCCAGACATGGTTTCTCATTAATATGTATATGTCAGGGCTGTACATGTGTGTTATTTGATACCTTGTTCTGTTCCAAACTGTTGGATTGTAAACAGGCTTATTCTTTTTTTAGATTGAAAGTATTCAGCTGATGATGGATAGTGAAACTGGACGTTCCAAAGGATATGGATTTATTACGGTATGAGTGGGGTCACCAGACTTGTTGGGCAGCTTTGAGCGTAACCTTCTCACACAACAGTGCAGGTTACTCAAACCTTGCTTAGAAATTTCTGTTGCAGGATGTGCAGCAGTGGTCTGTTTTCTTTCTGCCAGTCCTCTGTGGGTGACGTGATTAAATGATGCAGGTGTACAGATAGGAATAGCATAGCTGATGGTCAGTGCCTGCAGAGCAGTGCTATTCCTGGCGGGCGAGTACACCTGCCAACACTGACTTTTTCATAGTGTCATTGAAATGATGGAATTACAGATTTTTATTCTTTTTTTTTTTTTTTTGGTGACGTCAAATTCCAGAGGCTGAAATTTTTGTTTAAAAACATCTTCATCTTGGCTCTCAAATACCTAATTTTGTGAACGGAGCAATTTGTGATGAAAGCAGCATCAGAGGCCTCTGGCACTTGGAGACCAATGAAACAGACTTAACTTCATAGCTAATATATGATGTCTTAACACAGACAGCAAGCACGTGTTTTTGATTGGGCGTGCGTCCTGACACAGATCATCTGCAAGAGCAGCCAGCAGATGTGTGGTGGTTAGAAATTATGCAGGTGGCTGCTGCTCTGGGAAGGTGTTGTAAGGCGACGACAGCCATGCCTTCCACAGACTGCAGTGTCTGTGTTGTCCAGCTTCAACAATAGTACATACCCTGCATAGAGGAAAGTAGATATTCTGCCTTGCTTGTGTTTGGCTATAGCAGAAAATACGAATCACATTTAAGGTTGCAGCAGCTGCTGTTATGTTCAGTGCTTTCCACGTTTCTGTAGCTGTGGATGTTTGATGCGATGAGTGCTGCTAAATATCATTGGCAGGATTTCTGAATTTGTGTTTTTCCCACCTGCAGTTCTCAGACTCAGAGTGTGCCAAAAAGGCTTTGGAGCAGCTCAATGGATTTGAGCTGGCTGGCAGGCCGATGAAAGTTGGGCATGTAACTGAGCGCACTGATGCTTCCAGTGCTAGCTCGTTTTTGGACAGCGATGAGTTGGAGCGAACTGGAATTGACTTGGGAACAACTGGTCGCCTTCAGTTGATGGCAAGACTTGCAGAGGGTATGTATGGTGATGAACAGGGAGTCTGCAAAATCCTGAGGCTTTATGCAGCTTGAATTAATCAGTGTGTTGGTGCTTCCTGCTCAGGTACTGGGTTGCAGATTCCCCCGGCTGCACAGCAGGCTCTGCAGATGAGTGGCTCGTTGGCATTCGGGGCTGTGGCAGGTAAGAAATGATCGCCTCCTTCTTTGCCCAAAATGCTGGTCGTACTTGATGATTTTGAGACAAAGGGCTGAAATGCATCTTGTGATCTTTTAAGTTGGGAGCATAGAACCACAGCGCATCTTACAGATTGAGGAAGTTCTCAAATCCGTGGGCAAATAAACAGTGGCAGCATGTGTCAGCTTTGATGGATATGCTTCACTTTGCATTACTTCTGCTGAATCTTTGTAGTTCATTTAATCATTTCAGACCTTCGTCTCTTCACTGTTCCCACTGCTAGTGGGAGCATTTATGTTCTGCTGCACTGTAAATATTGGCTGTTAAAAGTGGCAGGCTCATAACTGGAAGAGGATTGACTCTCTACAGAGTCCCTTCTGAAAAAAACAACCAAAACAAAAGCCAGCTGTGCCAGGAGCAAGAAGGTTACTGGTACTCCATGGAGGACACTGCAGTAGCTAGGATCGTGTGATGCATGTCCAGAGAGGTGGACACTGTACATCAGGGTGTCACGGTGTTGCTTGAGGAATGGCTGTAGCTTGTGTGCTTTGTTGTAAGAATTACCAAGACTTTAGCTTGAAGGATGAGGCTGAGAACTGATTGTGCCTGCTGCTAGTTCAGTAGCTGGCCTGAGCCAAAATGTTCAGGAGGGCTTCAGGTAACTTTTACAGGAGACTTTAATACTGAAGCAAAAGGTGGCAAATCTTTGTAGCAGTAGAAAAGACTTGAGGGATATTGCAGATAACTGGCTGCTGGAATTTGCAAGAAGTGTCAGGAGACAAAGAAAGAACACATGCATGGGATTTCTGTCTTCCAGCAGAGTGGCAGAAGGCATTCAGACTTAAGGTACACCTGAGTCACCTTAATGAAGTTCAAGTGCATTGTTGAAAAGAGCAAATGTGTGAAACTGAACTGTCCTGAAAAAAAAAAAAAAAAGGAAATAGTTTATATCCCCTGAAGTGGAAGGAAAGGGGTCTGAGAAGTGACAGAACGTTGGGAATTGAGAAACGAGTTCTTTATATTAATGAAGAAAGAGGTGAAAAAGACCAGGTGGCAAGGAAGAGGAGTAACTATTCCAAAAGAAGGAAGGCGAGCAGCAGTAGCATGAGATCACGTTTAATGTAGGGGATGGTGATGTGACAGCCTTGCCTGGGAACAAGTGTAGTTGGTGAGAAAGGAGGAAAACGTTACACAAAAAGCTGCAATCATGTTCTCTCCTGTGTCTGAAGCAGGAGGCCACAAACGTGCTTAAGACATCTAAATCATTGGAATGGCATTGGATTAATGAGACAATGCAACTGTGGAGGAGTGAATTTTAAGGCTGAACAAAGTTTTTTGTATAATGTGCATGTTTAGCAATTGTGGAAATGAAGGTGGTAGGAGTATCACTGTTTGTTCCACTTGTATTGTGCATAAGGAATAATGCAATTATGTACAGTTTGAGTAACTGTGGAGAAGAATAAAGCTTTTTAGAGTCATGAGCTGTCCCCAAAGTGAGATTTGGTTATGGATTAAAGATCTCTTTACTCTTGTTAGAGAAAATTACTACCAGGAATTATGTCATTGTGGGAGACTTTAACTTCCCTGATACAGATTGGAGAAGAATTGCTAGTAATAATGGTGGGGCCCAGATATTCCTGGATGTGATATCCGACAAATTTCTTCATCAAACACTCACTGACTCATGAAGAAGGGATGCTATTTTAAACTCATTTTGGTAAGTAATGAAGATGTTATGGATGAGAATAGCTTTGACCATTGACTGAGTGATCATGAATTGCTCAAGCTTAAAAGGAAGGATAAGGCTTGTGATTTCAGAAGTGGTGGTTGAAGAACTGAGGAAATAAAGTCAGCTGGTCTGAGCAGCGTGAGTGTATGAGCAGACAGGATGTAAGAAGTTTCTTCAGTTCCAAAAGCTAATGCTATATTGGATCTGTATCCTACAGAGAGAAGAGACAGTCCTGTTAAAATTGGGCTCCACACTGATCTGGGTAATTAGCTCCAGAAAAATGCAGGATAAGCACAGAGCCTGTGAAGAGTAGGAAAAGGCTAATAAAGATAATAAGGCAATAAAGAAGGCAGTGCTGTTAGTAAGTGGTGCGATGAGAATTGCTTACCCAGAGTCAGGTTACAATAGACTTTGTGAAGATAAATGAACAAAAGGGAAGTGTAGACAAAGATTTGTCAGATCTTGAAGACAACAGAAAAGCAGGGCTGAGGTTGAATGAAAAAGTACTTGAGGTGTTTCAGAAGAAGCTTATTCTCTCAGGTTGTAATGGGAACACTGGTCATAAAGTTTGGGATCAAGTAGGAGTATGGATGATGAAAAAATGCATCTCGAGGTGGATGGGTCTAAAGAAGAGCTGCCTGTTGTCAGTTCAGGACAGTGAGACTCCTATCAAATTAGTGAAGTAATCAGTACATGAAATATGGGACACAGTGTCCAGTGTTATCAGTAAATATTGTAAGCCTGTGATATAATGCATGGCTGGGACATCAGGTCTAAATTGCCTGCACTTTAAAAAAGGAAGGAGGAAGAACCTGGCATGGACAGTTGCCAGTCCTGTTGTTCTGACTTCACTTTGTTCATTTAAAAGTCACACTAAAGGCAGGCAAGCTGAAGGCTATGGTTAAAATACTGCAAACCTTCAGAAAACCTGCTTGGAAGCATTAGCAGTCTGTGAGTCAAGGAAGGCTTTGATAGCGAAACTCTGCTGACTCCTGATTTGTTCGTTTGGAATTGTAATCAACTTCCAAAAGAAGTTTCTAAGAAGGAGGCAGTATGTGCAGTGGGAACATCTGACAGGAAGCTGATTCACACAAATAGGGGATTTTTCCTCCCCAGATAAGCACTGGGAACGATGGGATGTTGTTGAAATCTACTTCCAGTTTCTGATCTCATAAAATATTGCATGATTCACAATGGCAAAAAACGGCGAGGTAACAGTGAGTAAACAGAGGTGCTCTCAGTGTAGATCCATGGGCTGAGCACCTGCTGAGAGCTGGTAGAGGTGCAGAGCATGTGACACAGCACCAGTGTCTGGCAGTGAGAAGTATGATGAGTTGGAAAACCTGGGTTAGTCAGGGAGAGGGCATGAACTGCCTGTGATGTGCTTCATGCCTCTGCTAATTGGTGGCAAGAACTGCTTGCCTGTGTTTGGTATGTGCTGAATGAGACTGGAGATGGGGGGTGGTAAGTTGCCTGGGGAGCCTGAGAGCTTGGATGTGACTGACGTGAAGGGCATTCCAGCAGGAAAAGGAACTGAAGCTAAACAGCTACAGCTGTCTGTTTCTTGTTCTGTAGGTAGATGTGTCTGAAAGTGGAAAATCAGGAGACCGTAGAACACTTCATGTACTTTGTGGGACAGAATTCCTCTTCAGCAGATTTGATCTGCTGTTCTGCTGTAAATAATGAGAAAACTGGGAAACGTGGCATTTGTTTTCAAGCATTTGTTCACTTGAAGCTGGCTGTGCTTGAAAATGAAGCAGGTAATATTGCAATGTCTTTTAAGGCACGCAGTGCTTGGGTAGATATTCCTGCTGTATCTCTCCTGAGCGTGTGCAGAGTCATTGAGATCTCCCTGTTCTTGCAGGTAATACACAGGATGTACTCAGCAGGTGGCTGAGTTTCCCTGGACACATGGTAACTTCAGTGTCCACGTCCTGTTCAAAGCTGCACCTAAGGAGGAATAGCCTTAGAAGAGTGACAGTGGAGTTCTAAAATGGAATGGACTTGGAGAGAAAATCCATTCTTCAGTCCTGAGCAGGGAGGATTCAAGTAGTTAATGAAAGCTTTTATGGATGGAGGAATATGCTTCTGAAGTGGCAGATAATTAACGTATGGAACATGTTGCTGCCAGGCATCGATTGGTGACCTTCTGTAAATGGAGCAGGTCTGTGAGCCCTGCCCAGAGCTGAGGGCTCTGTGTGCAGCTGTCGCGTTGGGCACAGGAGGATGGGGCTGCAGGGTCCCAGTGGCCAACCTTGGTGGGTGCAGCTGAAGTGATGCAAAGGGAGGTGCAAAGGGAGAAGTGAAGAGGTGCAAAGGGAGAAGTCTCTCCTCATCTAACTAGAGAGATCTAAGAGATTTTGCTTATTTGCCTTTATTTTATTCAAACACTTCTTTTTTTTTTTTTTTTTTTTTTTAAACCAAAAAACTTGGTGATTATTTATAGAATCACAGAATGGTTTGGGCTGGAAGGGACGCTTAGGTTCACCTAGTTCCAGCCCCTGCTCGAGGCAGGGACGCCTCTCCCCGTGCAGCCTGGCCTCGAGCCTCTCCAGGGAGTGGACATCCACAGCCTCACCATGCAACCTGTTCCAGTGCCTCATCACCAGAACAGATGGTGAGATGATAGATTTGGGCACTTCTGTGTGGATCTCGTGGGCTTCTGTAGAGAATGTGCCCTAGGATGGCCCCCCGTTATGGGGTTTCTGTCTTGGTGGAGAGGAGCATTCCTTCCTGGTAAAAAGCCAGATGAGGAACATGCTAGATGTAGCTCAGCCTTCAGAGCTTTCTTCTTTTAATCCCGTGTTTTATGTGCTTTCCCAGTGTGTGTTCTCTTGTGGAAGTCGTTTGGAAGGCCTTTGTGTCTCCAGGGCTTGTGCTGCCCATAGTGGCGTCGCTGCCTCTGCCAGCATTCTGGAGCAGAGCTTGGAGGGGAAAAAATACCAGACAGGTGTCAGCCAATTTCACCGAGTTTCCAAGTGGTCCATCATGTCATCACAGCTTTCTAAAGAAGTAAATTGTGATGATGACTCACTGCAAACCTCTGGCTCCCTGTGTTGGTGAGAATTGAGAAATTGAAACATGAGTGAAGTTCGTTTCCAGCGTTCCCAAGCTTTTTGTTGCTAATCTAAAGCTGAGTCAAGTATTTAAGTTATAAGAGGTTGGGAAGTCTGTGTTCTTCTGCCCCTGTTACTTCAAATAGGGACAGCAGTTATGCTTACGTGACAAATTACATGTTCTGAATGCTTGAAAATGTTTTGAAATGGAAGAGTACCAAAGGAACGTGTCGTGGTGATGCTTCTGTGAAGAGATAACAGGTGAAACAGCACCGTGTTTCTCTGACATAAATACAGTGACTGCTGTCACAACGGTGGTTGGGTAACTGTGCTGAAATGCTCTCAGTTCAGATAGCAATTTTTCAGTGCCTGCAGGAATTGCTGTATTTTCTCATGGGAAAAGAAAATACGTAAGAGTCAAAGCACATTACTGACAAGGTGAGAACTGTGTTAAACTAAAGGGCACGGTCATGTCTCACTTTCCTTTTAAGGCATTGTTTCTCTTTGAAATACTCCTGCTTACCTGCGTGGTTATGGAATATCTTGAGTACAGAATATCCCAGCTGAGGAGCTGGAAACAGGGAAATTTATTCATAGGAGCAGTTGAGAGCAGGCCTAGATTTTTGAGCAAGGTGGTGAGCACAAAAGCACAAGCTAAACAATCTGTCTGGCAGGTACAACGCAGGTATGGTAACGTTCACAAATGTGCTAATTAACCTCTGTGTATTTCTCCTCAGATCTGCAAACAAGACTCTCTCAGCAGAATGAAGGTAACCTGGACTTTGATCTAACTTGTCACCAGTGCCTTGTGTGCTGCGAGCCTTGTCTCTAAGTGAAATGCTTTGGATGTGGAGATTGCCCGCAGCCTGAGGAATTGTGCTGTCTGTAGGAACTGTGCTTTACATTGACTAATGGCCACAAAGAGCAGAAAGCCTGTTGAATGCTTGGCCTTTTCCATGGCATCAGCGTTGACTGACGCGTGCCCTGGGAATGCTGCTGGGAAATATCCCTGAGTCCCAGAACGGCTGCGTGGCTCCCAGCGCTCTGTTGGGCCTGGGGCAGCCCAAGGGATGGGGCAGTCGGGCTTCAGGTGTGGCTTTGTTTTCCCCTGCGTTAAAGGCAGGGGCTGGAAGAATCAGATGAGAAAACGGGGCGTTTGGGGTTGCTGTCTCTCAATTAGTCTTTAGGTTGCTGCCTTCGTCCCCTTTGATTCTACATGTGTCCAGAGAAAGCAGCCTGTTTCACCTAAACAAACAGAAGCTTACAGCCTGTGAGAGAGCTGCTTTTGGACAGTGCTACGTTAATAAGATGCACTGTGGTGATTGGTAACAGCAGGTAATCAGTGATTGTTGGGGTACTGAGAGAACACAGAGCTGCTCTGAAGTTTTATCAGTTGCCGAGTGTTCCCTGCACTGCGTGTTTCTACAAAAGATGTGCTTGAAGGATCCTTCAGTTGCTCAGAACGAGCCCTGAGGATTCTCAGGGATGGACGGCAGTCCTGTGAAGTGAGGTGTGGGCAGCCCTGCCGTGGCTGCTGGGCTGAAGGACGGCTGAGGGTGGTGCTGGGGTGCACACAGTGCTCACGTGTGGAGACTTGTTTGCACTGAAATGTTTACACTGCAGATCCACCCCTGTGGTGGTGCAGGGTTCTTTTTTCTGGCACAAGTTGTAGCTACTCTGGCTTTTTCCACAGCGCTGCTTCCTGCCTTCAGCTGTCTGTTCAGTTAGAACTGTTGCCGTTTGTGCCAGATAATCATTTTTTTTAGAGTAGGTGGAAGCTCCACATTTAAATTGGAGCCACGTGTCGAGAATTCTGAGATTGATTAGTGTGTTTTCTTTCCCCACTGAACAGTTTTGGCTGCAGCTGCTTCTGTACAACCACTTGCAACACAGTGCTTCCAGCTTTCCAACATGTTTAATCCTCAAACGTAAGTGACGTCTTGCAGTTTCACTTCAGCTTTTGTTGATGACGTGTGAGAAACCAATGAGAGCAGCGGGTGGGAGGGGTTTGGATGGATGGATTGGTTGTGAAGTGGGTTTCACTGGGGATAATAATGTTTCCATTTCTATTCTGTTCCTCTTCCACCCCCTGCAGTGAAGAAGAAGCCGGCTGGGATACAGAAATTAAAGATGACGTGATTGAGGAATGTAACAAACATGGAGGAGTTATCCACATTTATGTAGACAAAAACTCAGCTCAGGTATGCCTGGCTCCAGGGGGCACTGATCTGAACAGGCTGCAGTTCTGTTGCTTTGTTCTGTATAGAGAGGACATTACAAAAACTCTTTTTTTTCCCCCTAATCTGAATCTAATGATCTGAGTCTGAATGCCCTGAACGTGCTTAGCCGTTGTTCCAGAATGTAGTTCCCTTCTATTTTGGGTCATCGTCACTTTTTTTGGTGTTGCAGTCTGTTCTTACAAATTTCCACAGCTGAAGTTACTGTGGGATGCAGGCTGGAGAATAGCAGCCTATTACTTCTGGCATTTCCTTGAACTGTGTGTTTCCTGAGAGCCAGGGGCTTCTAGTTTCTTCATCTGCTGCAGAGTGCAGACTTCAGCTTCAGCACAAAGGTCGCAGTGCTGCAGCAGATTCAGATTTGCAGTGAATGTGCCTGGTCCTGTCCTTGGGAGCAGTTGTCTTCACTGTTAGCCAGGGCTCTGCCGCCGTGCTGAGGGCAGTGGGGGGGCCTGCATCCTAGGAGCTGCTGCTGAAGGTAACAAAGTGGTGCTTGTGGAGGTCAGTGCCTTTCAAACAAAGATTCTTGAACACCTGCACTTGAAAAACACTAAGGAAGTTTTCTCCCTTGTTCAGTTGGCCTGTGCAGCCCCCAGGTCTATCATCTCTTCCCTTGAATTTCTGTTCTTAGCATATAAATTGCTGACGTGAACTCTCAAACTCCTTTCCTATGGAATCCACACCTCAAACTGGAGTCCTGTATTAAAACACTCACTGTCACGTTCTCATTTCCAACCATGGAACCTTCAGAGTGCTCTGCCAGGGTGAGGGGCTGGAAGTTATGCTGCTGTCCCTCCCAGTTGCTGCTTAGGTAGGAGTGTGACCCTGGTGAAGACCTTCATCTACCACTGAGCTGCTTCTGTGGAAGTTTCTTTTCACCTGCGAGCCTTTCACAAGTCTTGTTGAGGTGTTACATTTGCCATAAGCTGCTTTCTAATCCATAAGACAGCATGCAGTCTTTGCTAAGACTTTCACTCTCCCACATAAGGGTTGTGTTGAACCTCTGGGCTGGTGGGTGTAGAAATGTTTCCCATGGCACATCAGTCTGTGACTGCCATGGGTGCAGTGTCCTGTTGCAGACTTCATATTTATTAACTTTTAAGCCGTTGGCATTGCACGTAGATTCTGAGCTGCAAATTTGGCCCATTGTAATTCATAAGGGAGCTGTAATTTTATTTCTTTTACACACACTCGTTAGGTTATGTGAAATCCATTTTTAAGGCTAACACAGGGACGGCTCTGATACAAAATACCCACTGCTATTTAGAAATACTTCGTTTGAACATAAACTTCAGCTGTGCTGTTCTGTGGGCTTGGATTCTCATCGCATGACCTCACTTCTGGTCTCCGATCTCTGGCCTTTTGGGGCTGTTTTCCAGACAGTCAGACCTGTGGCTCTGAGGGCTGTCGGTAACAGCAGTGCAGACATCATCGGTGTGGTGAAAAGATCTTTGTCCCAACTGAATACGTACATTTCTCCTGGCTCTTACAGTCTGTGGTGTGTTCCAGGGAAGTTAAAGCTGTGCATTGCTGTGTCCCATTTAGAGGTTTAAGCAGCTGGGATGTCTGTGCGGGGGGAGGCTGAGAGCGGAGCCGTGTGTTCCTCAGTGCCCATGAGCATCAGCTGCTCACTGCCCTGTGGGGGACTGCAGGAGCCCCTGAGCAGTGATACCACCATGGGAAAGATGGGTGCAGGCTGGAGAAGGCTGCTGAAGGGAGCCTGTGTTCTTCTTATTGATACATACTTCTCTTCTAAAACCTGTTCCGGCTTGAGCACAACATGGCTCAGCAGTTACTGGTAGTATTTTATTTAACAGTGTAGCCTTAAAAATGCACACGTTGCTGTGGGCTTGTGTGTGTTCTGCAGGTTTTTGAATGTGAATGTCGCAGCACTTTGCTTCAACCTGGGTTAGTGCTTAGTCTCCAGATTGAAAGCTCCAGCTGTCTGTGGCAAAGACAAATTTCCTAATTCATTCATGTTAGTGAGCACCTTGGGCTGTTCTGAAGCTCATGTGCTGATACTTGGGGCATCAGCCTTCTTTGAAGTGCTGGGTGGTTGTGCTGTCGCTGGGCGCAGAATTCCTACGCTGTCCATCTGAAAATTAACCTGTAAGCTGTTGCAGGTGAGCAGCTGGTGGTGGCTGGGATTTCATAGAATCCTGGAATGTCTCAGGTTGGAAGGCACCTCAGGGGTCACCAAGTTCTGGCCCTCTGCCACAGGTGGAGCTGCCAGCCCCTACATCCAGTGCCAGGCCTGGTTGCCCAGCGCCCATCCGGGCCCTGAGCTCCTCCAGGGATGCGGCAGTGTGCAGCATCTTTGGGCGGCCCGTGCCAGCACCTCACCTCTCTCAGTAAAAGCTTCCCCTTGACATCGAATCTAAACCTTCCTCCTCAGTTTTAGAACTACTCCCCCTTGTTGATTTCCCTTAAATATCAGAAGGCTGCACTGAGGTCTCCCTGCAGCCGTCTCTTCTCCATGCCGAACACTTGCAGCTCCTTCAGCCTGCATAGCAGAGATGCTCCAGCTCTGTGATCTTCGTGGCCTCCTCTGGACTGCCCTCATTCCTGCACTGGTGCAGTAGTGTAGATTGGGCCTCGTGAGGACAGAGTAGGAGGGAACAGCCTTCTCCCTGCTCTGCTGTCCCCCATTTCAGATGCAGCCCAAGGCACCCTCAGCCTTCCATGCTGCAGGCACGCACTGCAGGCTCACGTTAAGCTTTTCACCCACCAGTACACCAAGTCCTGGTCAGCAGGGCTGCTCTGTAGGAGTTCTCCCTGATGGCAGTCTGCAGAAAGGCAGCCACGTGCCTCGTGCTTCTGTTTCACCTGGGATTTTGTAGTTGGGAAGTGTTAGATCACACTTCAGACATGAGGAGCAAGTAAGCAATGCTTGCTGCTTCCATACATCAGGCTTACATTTGGTCTGGCTTGCAGAATCTTATTAGAAGTGCGAATGGTGCTAAAAGCACCGTTGGTATGAAGATGTGCATCTGTAAGGCTGTGGCTGTGTGCTCACTGCCGTGCTGCTGGAGCTCGGGGGAGACTGCAGGGAATGTAACAGGGTGCAATGCTTTGTGTTGCAGGGCAACGTGTATGTGAAATGTCCTTCCATTGCTGCTGCCACCGCAGCTGTGAGCGCGTTGCACGGGAGATGGTTTGCAGGTGAGGAGATGCATTTTTGTGGTAGAAATGTGCATTTGTTCATGGATGATGGGACTGGACGGAAACTGACTGGGGTCTGTTTTGCTCTCCTGTTCAGGTAAAATGATCACAGCAGCCTACGTACCTCTCCCGACGTACCACAGCCTGTTCCCAGACTCCATGACTGCAACCCAGCTACTGGTTCCCGTTCGACGATGAAGATGGATTTAGTCAGTTTTGTACATAGTTATTTTTTGGAGGAAGATTGAGTTATCTTTTATTTAGATAAAACTAAAGGAAAGGATTTAATGTCATTTTGTGTACACTTCCTGCTACCTTTAAAATAAAATGAAGTAAGCAGAAATGCAGTGTGTTCATTCTCCCTAACTAGCATTTCCACTGTATACAAAGCTGTTGACTTCTTGTTCTGCCTTGTAATTCTTGTACATTTACTAAGGTGATCTGTAGGAACTGAGAAGTAGCTCATAGAAAATAAATTCTCTGTAAAAGGCAGATGGGACATAATTCAATTTTTAAGTGTTTCACGAGCCTTTCTTTTAATGCAGCAATTACAATTGACATTTCACTAAATGTAGGTGATCTGCTTGAGGTTAATATCAGAGGTAGAGACTGTGAAGGGACATATTTAGTGTTGTGTATAAAGGGGAACTGGAAAGGCTGCTGGAAGCTGACCTGGCCCGGCGCTCAGTGCGCTGTGCTGAACGAGGGTAAGAATGGAAGGACTGGAGGGTTTTATTTCTCGATGGTAACTTTTGATTAATGTTATCTGTAAAAGTTTCTTTGTAAATACTGTGTGAGGTGTGTCTACATTTCCAAACAAAACCATCTCTGCATTTCCAGACAGGTTTCTGTGCGTGCAGTAGCTGAAGGATTTCAGCAGAGTCTGAAGGTGGGCAGGAAATACAGAAACATGTTTTGTTCTGGTTGCATATAATCTTTGCTCTTTTTAAGCTCTGTGAGCTCTGAAATATATTTTTGGGTTACTTCAGTGTGTTTGACAAGACAGCTTGATATTTCTATCAAACAAAGACTTTCATATTGCAACAATCTTTGTAAGAACCACTCAAATAAAATTCTCTTAAAAAGGCCTTCACGGAGCTTCCTTTCTCCGCTCCTCGCGGCCCAGGCGGTGCTGGAGCAGCCGCTGCCTCGGGCGCTGAGGCTGTTGGCGTCGTGGTTTGTAGGCAGCCCTGGCTGGGGGGGTTGTCGTTTCTTTACCCTCTCCTGTTGGTTTTCAGCCTCTGGCTGTGGGGCAGGAGGAGTGGGACCGCCCCGCTGGGTGGCGGTGGGTGGGGGAGGCTGAAGGCAGGGTGCCCTGGTCCCAGCCCTGGGCTGCTGTGGGCTCTGTGGCTTTGGTGGGTGGCAGCACGGAGCGGTGGCCTGCAGGGTGCTGGGGCTGTGGGGGTGTGGGACTGGGGGAGGTAAAGGCAGGAAGGGGGGGGGCCGAGCGCGTGCATGGCGGTGGAAGGAAAAACAGCCACCCCAAGTGGCGCTATTTTTATTTTTCCAGTTGCTGTTATGTTAATGGATGCCAGTTAAGGTAAAACTTGGGTTGTTGCAGCACACCTGTAGTGCTCAGCTCGTTTGCACAGAGGTCGCTGAGCCAATGACAGCACAGCCGCATCTCACGTGGGAAATGCATTTCTTCGGAACCGGGAGGCAGCGCTCAGCGCTCGCACGTCCTGATGCCTGGGCTGCTGCTGGGCCGGGTTCTGCTGCTGCAGCTGCCTCCTTGAGGCCAACCTCTGTCCTTCAGCACAAGAGGAACAAAGGTAAGGCTTGCTTCGAAAGGTAGAGAACAGGAAATTGCACCGCTGAGCTGAATGTGTCAGAGTTGGCTGTGCTACGCCAGGCAGCGTGGTGGGCTGCAGTCCCCTGCTTCACTGCAAAGCTTTGACGCCTTATGAGAGCTGCACGGTGCAGCGTGGTGTCAGGTCTGGCAGCTTAGAGGCACTCTTAGAGGCAATGCACCTTTCCCTGCCCAGGGAATGAAAAATGAGCTGGTTATGGGCTGCAGGAATAGCTTGGCTCTGTCCTTCCCTGGGGCTGTACCCTGGGGTTGCACATCTTGCCCAGGCTGGGTTCCTTTGTGCTCTGAGTGGAATTTCCACAGGGAATTGAGATGATTGTGTCACTTAGAACCCAAAAATGGGGCCAACACAGTCACAGAATCACAGAATGGCCAGGGTTGGAAGGGACCTCAAGGATCAGGAAGCTCCAACCCCCTGCCACACGCAGGGCCACCAACCTCCCCATTTCATAGCAGCCCAGGCTGCCCAGGGCCCCATCCAACCTGGCCTTGAACACCTCCAGGGATGGACGGGGCATCCACAGCCTCTCTGGGCAGCTGTTCCAGCACCTCACCGCTCTCTCTGTAAAGAACTTCCCCCTGACATCCAACCTCAATCTTGCCTCCCTCAACTTCAAACCATTTCCCTTGTCCTGCTGTTATTCACCCTTTCAAAGAGTTGATTCCCCTCCTGTTTTTAGGCTCCCTTTAGGTACTGAAGGCTGCAATGAGGTCACTCTGCAGCCTTCTTTTCTCCAGGCTGAACAAGCCCAGCTCCCTCAGCCTGTGTTCATAGGGGAGCTGCTCCAGTTGCCTGATCATCTTTTGTGGCTCCTCTGGACCCTCTCCAACAGCTCCCTGTCTTGTTCCTGGACACAGCACTGCAGATGGGGCCTCACAAAGCAGAGCAGAGGGGGACGATCACCTCCCTGCCCCTGCTGGCCTCCCCTCTTCTGATGGAGCCCAGGATACCATTTACTTTCCAAGCTGCAAGCACACACTGCTGGCTCATGTTACGTTTTTCATCCATCAGCACCCCCAGGTCCTTCTCCGCAGGGCTGCTCTCAAGGACGGCTCCCTTCAGTCTGTATGGATGCCTGGGATTCCTCCAGCCCTCACCAGGTTCGCCTGTTCCCACCTTTCCATCCTGTCGAGGTCCCTATGAATGGCCTCTCTTTCTTCCACTGTGCCAACCGCACCACTCAGCTTGGTGTTGTCAGCAAACTTGCTGAGGCTGCACTCGATTCCATCATCACTGTCACTGATAAAGACGTTACAGAGCACCGGTCCCAAGGCACAGCCCTGGGGGACGCCACTCATTACCGGCCTCCACCTGGACACAGAGCCATTGACCACCACCCTCTGTCTGTGGCCTTTCAACCAGTTTCTCATCCATCGGGTCGTCCACCCATCAAATCCACATCCCTCCAATTTGGAGATGAGGATGTGGTGGGAACCATGTCAAAGGCCTTGCTCAGGTCCAGCTAAATGACATCGGCCGCCTTTCCCTCGTACACCAATGCCATCACTCCATCACAGAAGGCCACCAGCATGACCTTCCCCTGGTGCAGCCGTGCTGGCTGTCTCGGATCACAGCTCATTCCTCATGTGATCAAGCACGTCATCCAGGAGGATCTGTTCCATCATCTTCCCAGGCACAGAGACAAGACTCACTGGCCTGTAGTTCCCAGGGTCCTCCTTGCTCCCTTTCTCGTCAATGGCAGTGATGTGACCCTTCCTCCAGTCATCCAGGTCCTCACCTGACAGCCACAACTTTTCAAATATGATGGAGAGCAGCTTGGCAACCTCCTCAGCCAGCTCCTCCAGAGCCCTGGGATGCAGCCATCCGGCTCATAGACTTGTGCGCATTCCGTCTCATCAGTCGATCTCAGACCTGCTCTGTCACAGTGGGGGGATTTACCACCCCAGTCCCCACCTGGAGGTTTAGGGATGCAGGGCTCGGGGATGTGAGAAGTTTTGGAATCCTGGTCGCCAGTGAAGACCGAGGCAAAAACTCACTCAGTACCTCAGCCTTCTCTTTGTCTGTTGAAGCCAGTTCTCCTTTTGCATTTACCAAAGGAGGCACACTCACTGTGGCCTGTTTCTTCTGGCCAAAGCACCTGTAGAAAGTCTTCCTATTGCTTTTCACAGCCCTTGCCAAGTTCAGTTCTACTTGCGCCTTGACTTTCCTGATGCCACGTCTGCAAGTCCAGACAGCATCCCTGTATTCTTCCCAGGTGACTTCAGATATTATTGCAGTACAAGAGAAATTTGGTAGCTGATCTGAATTAACAGCAAAATAACTCTTAGACTGGGGGAGTGCATGAATGAAGTGGACCGGTTCTGCATCAGAAACCTGAGGTGCCCAAGCAGCAGAGGGAAAAGCGTGTTCACTGCTCGAGAAATTTTAACGAAGTGCAGAGGGGTGTGAATTCTCATTGTCATGGAGTACAGGAGGTGAGGAAAGCAGAAATCCTGTAAAGATGATGTCTCCATGAAGATGCTACAGCACAGAGGGCACAACATCACAAAAACCACTGCGTTTCAGTATCTAAAGACTTTATTTATTATGGTACAGGGGGTGGCTGCGCTTTGGATTAGAAGCCCGAGCTCCGGTTCAGCAGCGGATTCCCATGCCTATAGCCATGAACGTCCCGAACGTCCCACCGCTCTGCATCATCGTTTTGCCAACGCCGCCCATCAGCTCTCGTCCTCTCATGCCGATCCTGAGATAAAGAAAAAGGCAAAAATTACATCAAGGCTGAAGCCTGCTGCAGACGTACGCGGCAGAAACCAACTGATGCAGCCAGCTGACGGCCGCAGGGGAGCCTGAATCCATTCTCCTTTGTCCAGGCTCAACGTGAAGCGACGCCCTCGGGCTCTGCCAGCAGCCAGTGACCTGACGTGCCACAAGGAAAACCGGGGCTGGTTTTGTACCACAGCTCCGTGCCTTGGGTCAGTTCCATCCCACCTGCAGCTCAGACACAGCGGTAGCAGCGGGAGCTGCTTGGTGCTGCAGGGCTGTGCTGTGGGCTGCGCCAGGGTCGGCTCAAGGGAGAATATGGGGCGTTGTGCCCCAGCTCCACAAAAGGCGTGCTGCCAGCTGTGGGACGGGCTGCACAAGGAGCACAGAGGAGGGGAGCATCTCTACCTGCCAGTGCCCCACAGCCCTCAACGTGGTGGGAAACGTGGTGGGAAATGGCTCGGTGCTGCAGGGATCTGAATGGCGGGAATAAAGCAGTGTTAGCTGCTGTACCACCAGCCTCTCCAACTGCAACAGGTGTAATGCCATCACACCATGAACCACGCTGTGAATGGACTTCCTATGTACTACTGGTGCTGTATTTTCAATGTGAGAAAAGTTCCAAAGGTCTGGAAGCATTCAGACACAATTCTGTTCTCCAGTCTGTGTTTAAATGAAGTTGGGCCAAAGCAAAATAATCATTTCTTCTCGGACACTTCTGCTGCTGTTTGGCTTTTAGGAGCTGCAGCGGTGCCCGATTTCACGCAGAGCGTTTCCTCACAGCACAGCACAGCCCAGCAACGCGGCCGTGCCATCTCAGCACAGCGCCGATCCTTCGCAGCCCGAAGCCCGTATCCCGCTGGGACGCGCGGGGCGGTGCGCTCAAACGTTCCGCAGGGTCTGAGGAAGATCGGACGCCCTTTAATCAACTTTATCAGCCCAAGTTCTGCGAACTTTCCCCCTTTCCGGGCTACCAAACTCTCGCCGCGTTTTATCACACGGCGGACGCCCCAACGCGAGGAGCCCAGCAACGCCCCGCAGCCCCGCGTTTCCCGCAGCCCCGCCCCGCCGAGGCGCGCTTCCACCGCCGCGGTCCCGCAGAGCACAGCGGACCCCCGCCCCGCCGCACCTGAGGCACGAGAAGGTTCCGAACAGCGCTCCCGCCGCCATGCCCACGGCGAAGCCCATCACGAAGCCCATCTTCACTCTGTCGAAGCAGCTGGGCTGCGACTGCCCATACGGGCCCACGGTCACGGGCATCTGCAACACAGCGCTCCGCGCTCAACTCCGCGCTCGGCTCCCCGCACCGCCCCGCACCGCCGCCTCGGCCTCCGCTTCCGGTACGGACGGAAGGGGCGGAGCGGCGCCGCGTCGTCGCTGTCCGTCCGTCCGTCCGTCCGTCTCTTCCTCCCTCGGGCCCCGCGGCCATGCAGCTGTGGCGATGCCTGCCGGCCCTGCGGGCCGTCCTCCCCTCCCCGCGGCGGCTGTCGGCGACGGCGCCGCGAACGCGGGCCGAGGCGGGCGGAGAGGGTACGGCCGGGGCGGCTGCGCTGGGC